ATGAGAAAAGATTTTAGCAATTCAATTTCCTGTCAGATAGAAGATTATATTTTTCAATGAATTAAAGTAAGAAGAGTAAGGAGTTTATTCACTTTTAGTAATCGTATCCTAGAAAAGTATTAGAGAGATGAAAATTTAAAAAAAAAAAGAAAATATTATTTAATTAATTACCATATCGTATTTGCTTATTGAGATGATGTGGTGAGTAATTATGCCATGCAACTAATGCATTATGACGTTTCCGCTTTTTCACTGTTGGACCACGGATCGATTTGGAAGTGTTATCACCAACCACAGGCTTCTTAGTAGCCGGCGTTAGTGATACTCCATGCGTTTGCAAATCGGTAGATGTAGGTCCGGAACGGACTGCTTCCAAGACTAGGCTTATTTCGGAAGCTGATTTTCGCAAGTTAGACAAAAATTTGGGTACGTATAAATCACGGAGTGATTCACGTAACGATTCGCCAAATGTCAGTTTTGGTGATGATAAGGTGATGGATGGTGATGATGAGGCTGACTGTTGCTTGGATGAAGAAGCATTCTGCTGATAAGCTGAACCATCTTGATAATTATTGCAGTAATCATAGGATGAGGAACTCTGTTGTGGTACTTGCAGATATTGCTGTTGTTGCGACGATTGTCCTTGTTGTTCTTTAATTTTATCATATTTGTGACGTTGATATTTTAGAGTTTCTGGAGCAATGAAAGTTTTATCTACTGAAACTTTTGGTGCCATCGCCATTATTTGCTTCTAGCAAATAGGAATTACTTAATAAAAAATAAAATTCAAAAAGATTTTTTCTAAATTATCGATAGAGGATCAAATAATCTTTATGACACAACACATAGTCATGTAATCGTCGTAATCCTTTCAGATTTGTGTCAAGAAGAAATCGCAATCGCAGTAAGCGGGAGAAAATAAATGTTTTCGTATTTGATACGTAATCAATACTATATTTGAATTCGATAACGAAACATCATTGACCGATGACAAAGATGATACATAAGCAAAGTTTGGCACATGATGAAGCAGCACAAATGGTAGAATGTTGAGCGCAAACTTTTTTTGTCGCTGAAAATAGGCTAATAAATAAGCTTTTTTTTGAATCAATGTTTATTTCTCTCTCAATTTGAGGCTTAAAGTTTGTGCTGAAGCTTTCTCGTTTCATTCAATTGCTATGAGTTGGAGTAGAACTATGGCATTGTTGTAATCAAAGAAAATTAATATCTAACAGGCAAATTCGATGTTAGAAAAAAAAATTTTGAGGATTTAATTGTTGACATACAACTTTCAAAAACTCAATTTTCGGACATGAATTTGGAAAATGCAATTGCTAAAAGCAATTTATTTATATTAGAATATTTGGAAAGATACATTATTGCTATGCAATATGATTTTCCAAATAATGGTAAATAAGGAAATAGTGAGGCGTAGAATTTGCGATGAACCTTGCTTGAATGCATTTAAAGCCATTTTGGCATTGCAATAATGTAACATTGAAGGGTCGATGCTTATCAGAGAAAAAAATTTTTTTTCCAATAAAGCAAAAAAAAATCATACGATATTGAAAGGATCGGTATTTAAAAAGTGATATTCTACCAACATTACTGCCTTAAAACATTTCCGGTTCAGTAATGAAAATCTCCTTTAGAAGTATCAAAATTAATGACTGAAGAAAACATTTTGATCAATGATGTTGTCAATGTTCTGATCATTTTCGGAGAAAGAAGAAATTAATTACAATATGGAAAATTAGTTTCTTAAGAGCAAACCAAATTCTGAGTGAATATTTTTGATCATCTTTACAGAAGAGCACATTAAATATCCGAGTGAAATTTCCAATCAAAAATTCGGTTTAATTTGCTATTGCTAGGGAAGAAAATTTTAATACTAAAGTTGAAAATTGTTGCACTCAATTAGCGACCTTAAAAATGCAAAATGTATATCATATTTTTTGAAATTTTGTAATCTTCGCTTGGCCCAAAATTCATGGACTAGAACTTTGAGAAAACTGTTGTTGCTATATTTTAAAATCAAAAGGCAACAAACTGCCATTTATTATTTTACTATTCATTGGTTGAAATGATAGCGTTGCTTTAAAAAATGACAGACGTAGCAGGATGATTATGCTAATAAATGCTTCGTCTTCCGGGACAGCATCAATGAACAATCAAACGATCTTGTCATACTTTTAAAAGAGGAATAAACAACAAAAAAGCTATCCATTTGGGAAAAATAAAAGCGTACTTTTATTTTTCCCAAATGGATAGCTTTTTTGAAGATTTACACAACCAGAAAAAGCCTTAATTTTGATTAGATTTCAGTAAATTCTCTAAAAAAATCTGTCCATAAGCAATTCTTTTATTTTATTCGAAATGACGCGCAAATAGTACACTTTTAGAAATTAACTTGAAAGTTATGATAATAAGATTGTGACAATTATAATAATAAGATTAACCTAATAAGAATGGTAAAACAATCAAAACAAAAGTTCCGTTTAGCTGACATTAAATGAAAGGAAAAAAAATTTTTTTTTTAAAAATGACCTTTAACGATGCAGTGGTGACGTATTTTCATAATTAAATTTATTGCAATTATAAATATTCCTTATCATTTGGATTTTTATCACGTTTCTGACCGCTAGATGATATCATTCGAATACAATAAGAGGAGGTTTTTTTTTGATAGGATTTTTTGTGTATCAGAGAAAGGCGGATGAAAAAGAAAAAGCGCCGATAAGAAAGAGAGAGAACAGGTAACTGTGAGAGAAAGAACAATGGAAGAGGAAAAAACCAACACTGCATGCCCTCTCTTCGGTTCACCGAACATTCCGCACAGGTTGTTCAGTCCAGATTAATAAATAATAATACTATTAATTAATAATAATG